ACAACTTAAAGAATTAGAAAGAGAACAAAAAGAAAAACCCAGAGCTAGTAGAAGGAAGGAAATAATAAAGATCAAAGTGAAAATAAATGACATAGAGACTAAAAAACAATATAAAAGATCAATGAAACCAAGAGCTGGTTCTTCAAAAGATAAACAAGATTGATTAAACTTAAGCCAGAATCACCAAGAAACAAAGAGAGAGGACCCAATTTAATAAAATCAGGAACAAAAGAGGTGAAGTAACAACTGATACCACAGAAGTACAAAGGATTGTAAGAAAATACTTTAAACAAGTATGTGCCAACAAATTGGACAACCTAGGTGAAATGGACAAATTCCTAGAATCATACAGTCTTCCAAAATTCAACTGGGAAGAATCATAAAACCTGAACAGACCAATTACAACTAAGAAACTAGAAGCAGTAATCAATAAACTCCCAGCAAACAAAACCCTGGGTCCAAACAGCCTTCACCGGGGAGTTTTATGGAACATTCAGAGAAGAACTAACACTTATTTTCCTCAAACTGTTACAAAAATTCAAGAGGAAGAAAGGCTTTCATCCTCTTTTTATGTCACCAACATAATTCTAATCCCAAAACCAGATAAAGATGCTACAAAGAAAGAATATCACAGATCAATATTCCCAATGAATACAGATGCCAAAATCCTCAACAAAATATTAGCAAATAGGGTCCAGCAATATATTCAAAAATTATCCACCATGACCAAGTGGGAAATATCCAAGGATGCAAGACTGGTACAATATTCACCAATGAAAAAATGTGATACCACATAAATAAAATGAAAGATAAAAATTATATGATCATATCAATAGAAGCTGAAAAAGCATTTGACAATGCATCCAGCACCCATTTTTGATAAAAACTCTCAGCAAAGTGGGAATAGAAGGATCATACCTCAACATAATAAAGGCCATATATGAAAAACCTACAGCTAACACTCAATGTGTTTAAGATGTATTACATGCTAGAAATTCAAGTGAACAATAGTAGCATTGTCACTCACTGTCATCAGAGCAGTGATACATACCCCAGCCTCACTATTAACTCATAATTTTAAAAATTCTATTACAGCCCTTATTTCCATCTTATACAACAAAACTTTACCATTTGTTAACCATCTCTCTTTTCCTACAAAAGTTTAAGCACCAGGACTTGAAGAACAAGTTTGGTTCATGTTGCTATATCCAAATCCTACAGTGTGTTGATAATATGTGCTAAATTGGGTACGATGACTCTAAAGTGCAGAGCAATGGAGGATGTTAACAATATTAGCATCAAGAACATATTCTGAGAAGTAAAGGCTGTTTTTAATACTGGTCTAGTCTTTCTCCTTTGCTACATTTATGTTCTTTTAACAATTTACCTAAACAGAAGAAATGTAAAGGAGATATTAAATATTTTATGTGGTATATTAAGAAGTGAATTATTGTTTAACTAAGGTATTTTATGGTAAACTGTGTCTAATACACTGTAGGAAACACATATGTTTAGATAATAAGCAGGAAAAACAAAAGCTGTTGCAGAGGACTGGGGCGGGGAGTGACCTTGCTCTCATTGTAAGGCCAGTCTTATCTTAGTAGGGGGCCTGCAGGGGGCAGCCAGTCAATGTTTCTCTCTCACATCAATGTTTCTCTCTTTCCCTCTCCCTTCCTCTCTATATAAAATCAATAGAAACACATTTTTTAAAGTTCTTTAAAGCACTCTATTACTGTTAACACTTCACAGTCCCTTGATGGTTTGTGGTTATTCTCATTAGAATTTATTACACCTCTCTTTTTTACGATAGGTGAAATCCTGCAGGTCACTGGCAACAGAGTACTGAGAAAAACCATGATTTCCATTTTTGGTATTAAAAATGAAAAGGAACTTAGTCTCATAACAAAAATTGTAACTAAAAAAAATAAAATTTGAGGAAAAAATACCTGAAATTACATGCTCATGATAAAATTGTCTCATAATGTATAATATTAAATTAAAAATTGCAAACTTTAGCCCTGGCTAATGTGGCTCAGTTGGTTGAATGTCATCCCATGCACCGAGAGGTCACAGGTTCGATTCCCGGTCAGGGCACATACCTGGGTTGCGCGCCTGATCACCAATGGGAGTCATGTAGGAGATAACTGATCAATGTGACTCTCTCACATTGATGTTTCTCTCTCTCTCTCTATCCTCTCTCCCTTTCTCTCTCTCTAAAATCAATAATAAAAACATATTTAAAAAAATTACAAATATTATCTGAAATTCCATAATTATAATGGGACATGTTTATGTATCATCATAGGAAGCACAGTATTTTTTAGCATTCTATGGCTTAAAAACAGTTAATAAAGTATTTCTATGAAACAACTACAGCAAAATGCTCGTATTTTCAATCACACGCAATCAAACATATTTGAAAACTAACTGAGGGACTACATTCAGCTATAAGTAGCAGGAAACACCCACAGTCTTCCTGACAGGATGAAGGGGCTTATTCTCACATGAAAGGGCCAGGTCAAGGCAGCCACTGCACGTGCGGCAGAGAGAAACAATGTCCTGTTATTTTTGACTGCACCATTGTACATGTCATGCTGAATCAGAAGATGGTGCTGGTGAGCGCCATTAATAGCATAAAACTGTTTCCTATACAAATTAGACCTTATACTGACATAATCCAGAAAAGAGGGATACTAGAAAATGCTCACAAGCATGAAAGTTGGAATCAGTTTTCTGGTGGACACAAGAGGGCTTAAAAATAATCCACATTCTTATAGATCTTCCTTGTGAATTTTGTGAAGAAATCAGTGGAAAAACTACACCTCTAAGAAAATGAAAATTAAAGAGTTGGTGGTGGTTTTGAAGATACACTTCACTGAAGGGTAAGAAATCCAAAAAGTCAGCTGGAAGACGGTGTCCTCAAAGTCCCCATGTGTCTCTGTCTATCCCTGTATGGTGGTGACTCCAATATTTCATGAATGCCTTCTTTACTCCTGCTTTCCAAATGACATGCAAGTAAGGCTGTTGGTAATTTTAATATGGAACCACAAAGAAAAAACCCTGGGAAATCTACTTCTAACACTATCAAAAGATAGGATAGATCCGACTTAGATATTTTCTCCTATTACAAGTCTCTCCTTTTCATCATCTTCTTTTTAAAAAATCCTCATCAAAGGATGATTTGATTTGAGAGAGAGAGGAATGGGAGAGAGAGAGAGAACATCCATGTGAGAGAGAAACGTTGATAGGTTGCCTCCTGTACACATCCAGACCACGGATTAAATCTGAAACCTAGGTATGTGTCCTGATTGGGAACTGAACCCAAAAGCCTTGTGGTGTACAGAATGACATTCCAACCAACTGAGCCACCTGGCCAGGGCAGGTCTCTCTTCTTAAATCAATATCTATTTACCATATGCCAGTCAAGAGAAAAAGCAAAAGTTTAAAAATAAAAATAACTCACATGAAACTTTATTCTTTCATAAACTTGACAAACATAAAATTTACTCCAGTTTTTTATAAGAATGGGAAAAGGAGGCCCTTTTACCCATTATTCCCCCCAAAGTGCTTATTCAGTAAGAAAGGGAGAATATATATAATGGACTAGGAATATCCACCAACTGTCACGTGGCCTGTAGGCAAGTCTCAACTTATACCAAACTGCCCTTTTTCAATGGCCTTTTAACACACACACACACACAGATTATTAAAAAATAAACCTATTTGCAAAATAGAAATATACTTGAGTTAACCCATAAACTTAACAGCCTTCAAAATATAAAAAGACAATGTTATTAACTGATTTAATAATACTGATTTAGTAATATTATCTACTATTGCTGAAAGACAACTTGCAGAATTATCTCACATTGATATTCATTTCTTAAAGTAATTTTAGTTGACCCTGAACAACCTAAGTTTGAACCGCACAGGTCAACTGATACTGGGATTAAAAATCTCTGTAAAAAATGGGAATCCATACATGCAGAGGCCCAGCTTACGTTGTAGGTGGATTTTTGATGATGCAATTGGTTGATGCCCTTAACTTCCCCCACTCACCATTGTTCAAGTGCCTACTTCAGTTAAAGTCTGGTGTATAATGATGCACTAGATAGTAAGAAAAGAAAGAAGCTTGGTAAACATAATTTACAATTTTATTATCAAGCTTTAATGTTGAAAAATTTCTACAATATTATATATGAATTATTTTTAATCCTCACCCAAGGATATATTTTTGTTGTTTTTTAACAGAGATAGGAAGGTAGATGGAGGGAGAGAGAGAAACATTGATGTGAGAGAGAAATATCAATCGGTTGCCTCCCATATGTGCCCCAACCAAGGATCAACACTTAACCTGGGTATGTGCCCTAACCAGGAATTGAAACTGTGACCCTTTGGTGCATGGAATGATGCTCCAACCAACAGAGTCACACTGTCTAGGGCATTATGAATTAATTTTCATCAAGTATTCTTACATTATTTACATTTTTATATTTTTGGTGGAAGTTTCACATTTAAGGATGTGGCCCAACTAGTCTCCCACACTATTTATATTCAAGAGGTTTGACCCAATGAGTCTTTTTATGCCTTCAGAAGAAAAATAGCTGAAGGTTATCCCACATGCTTCATATTTATATAGTTTCTCTGCTGAGTATACTCTCATCTTATGATTTTGAAGGATTTTGTTAAAAGTGAAGGCTTTTCCACATAGCTGACATTTGTAGTTTTTATTCCAGTGTGAGTTCTCTCATATCATTGTAAAGAACTCTGTTCGATGTAGGCTTTACCACATTGTTTTCATTCATAGTGTTTATTTCCAGTGTGGATTCTTTTATATTGTCTATACAAATTAAGGCAAGTAAATGCTTTCCCACATTCCTTACATTGATAAGGTGTTATTTCAAGTATGCATTTTCATATGTCTTTGAAGGGATTTTCGAGAAATGAAGACTTTACCACAATGTTTACATTCAAAGGGTTTCTCTCCAGTATGAGTCCTTTCAATGTGTTTGTAAGGAACTGTATGATATAAAGGCTTTTCCACACTTCTTATATTCATAGAGTCTCTCTCCACTGTGAATTCTTTCATGTATTCGAAGATTACTGGGATATCTAAATGTTTTACTACATTTTTTACATACATAAGTTTCCTCTCCTTTATGAGTCCTTTTGTGCATTTGTAAAGAACTGGAATATCTGAAGGATTTTTCACATTCCTTACATTTGTAGGGTTTCTCTCCCGCGTGAGTTCTTTCATGTGTTTGTAAGTTACCAGAAGATCTGAAGGCTTTGCCACATTTTTTACATTCATAGGGTTTCTCTCCCGTGTGAGTTCTTTCATGTGTTTGTAAGGAATTAGAAAATCTAAAGGCTTTTCCACATTCCTTACATTTATATGGTTTTTCTGCAATATGAGTTCTTTTATCTTTCCGAAGATAATTGGGAGCACTGTATGCTTTGCCACAATGGTTACACTCATAGGGTTTCTCTCCAGTGTGAGACCTTTCGTGTATTTACAAGGACCTACAATTACTGAATGTTTTTCCACATTCCTTACATTCATAGGGTTTCTCTCCTATGTGTGTTCTTCTGTGTGGTTGTAAGGCACTGTAAGATCTGAAGGCTTTTCCACACTCCTTACATTCATAGGGTTTCTCTTCAGTGTGAGTTCTTTCGTGTATTCGAAGATAACTGGGGTACATGAAGGCTTTACTGCACTTTTTACATTGATAGGGTTTCTCTTCAGTGTGATTTCTTTCATGTCTCTGAAAACTTTATAACATCTGAAGGCTTTTCCACAGTGTTTACATTGATAGGGCTTCTCTCCTGTGTGAGTTCTTTCACATATTTGCAGTGAAGCTGGAGGACTAAAAGTTTTTGCACACACCTTACACTTATAAGGACCATCTAAAGTATGTGTGCTCATGTGTCTTTGAAAAGTTTTGAGCCACATGAAGGTTTTCCCACATTCCTCACATTTGTAGGGTTTCTCAACATTGTGATTTTGCTCATGTTTTTCAAAACACTGAAGATAACTGAAACCTCTTCCACATGTGTTACATCGATATGGCTTCTCTCCATATTTCTGATACTTCAACGGCTTGTGTCCAGTGTGACAGCTGGTGTACCTATTACTGGATGAATGATCCATGAAGCCTTTTCCATACACACTGTATTCCCATGGTTTTACTGCAGGAAGACTTTTCTCTTTCACATTAAGATTTGAAATAAAGCTGAAGTTTTCTCCATGTTGACTACTTTTTCTCCTTTACAGAGTCTCTCTACCATATGAATTCTGTAAAAAACAAGAAACACATTATTAATGATTTATTTATTAGTGATTTTGTATATTAGTAGAATATTTATTAGAATATTTGAAGTATATTTTTATAATTTATAGCAAAATTGTAGATATTCTGCTTTATCAATATTGTTAGAAATAAATTACACTGAAAATTCTAAAAGACAACTTTATCTTGCAATTATCAAAACAGTGAAATTCATATATAGGGTTTATTAATGCTGTTTCCATATGAACTAGTTTGCGAAAGTAAATTTCTATGTCATATATAAGAAAGTAATTTGGTGAATATTTCTAGGAAGTAATTAACTTGAAGCAGGGGTTGTTTTGTTCACTTATTTTTTAAATTTTGTAGTATAATAAGTTTTTTTGTTGTTTGTTTGTTTGTTTGTTTGTTTATGTGAGACCCTGCTTTCTATTCTTTGACTCACCTTTGTTTTCTCCCCTGGTTTTTGTACTGATCTTCCATATCAACAACTTCCCATTTTTTACCTATAATGCAGGCCCAGAGAAATCATTCCAAAGTATTAGAAATTACAAAAAAACATTTGATTTTAGTTCTATAATTAGTTGTGACCATGCCCAGTTTATTTACCAATGTGTTCCCTTTCCACATTACACAACTTATAACAATGTTGAAGGGTTAGAAATATCTGTCCTCTAATTGAGGAAGTGAAGGAAACTTGTCATCCTTACCTATGGAGGCCAGGTTCCTGAAGGTTTCCCACATCACATCTCTGTAGAGTTTCCTCTGTGAAGGATCCAGTAAGGCCCACTCCTCCAGGCTGAAGTTCACGGCCACATCCTCAAAGGCCACTGAGTCCTAAAATGCCCCAAATATGTATAGAGTAGGATGTGTGAGACTGACAGCACTGGACACCCAGACTCCATTTATAGGAAAATTATGTATGATTCTCTCACCTGCAAACATTTATACTATAAATTAATCATCAAAAATTTACTCTCTATCAACATTTAATTCCTTATATAATTAACACTGCCATAAACAAGTATAAATTATCAACACATTTTTATTGGGTTTACATTACATTATATTTTGTCTAATGGCAGGGTTCAGAACATGCTAGGAAATGACAGAAATGCTACACAGATGAAATAAATATTACTATTTTTAAACTATCAGTTCCTTGTGAAAAAGTTATTTCATCTTTCTCCGTATTGCCTATTCATAGCACCCCATGAAACCCCATCTACATGAGGTTTAAATAAATGAAAACAGTGAAAAACTGGAAGATTTTTTTCCATCCCCATTACCAAAAACAAAGAGTCCAGGAGACTTGTGGAAATCCCACATTTAACAAAGCCTAGCTGGTCTTAGAGTTCTCCAAACCATTAGAAGAACAGTTTATTGAGTTTCAATTTATTGCATTTGGTGTTTTCTTCAATATGGAAATAAGACCCTCCACCAGAAATAAGATTACAACTCCCTAAAGACTCAGCTGATGGTGAGCATTTATTAGCAATAAAATATTTTTTAAATTAAGGCATGTACACTGACATTGTAAACATATGGTATTGCAGATTAAAGTATCATGTAAATAGAACTTCTTTAAACACTGGGAAAGCAAAAAAAAATGTAGAATTTATTATTGACTCATGCACTTTATTGCAATGGTCTGAAACTGAACTCGCAATGTCTCTAAGGAATGCCTGTAACCTGAGGCAGCTGGCTGACTAAAAATATTCTTAGGGGGCAGTATTGCTTTTCCTTTGTGTAATATTTATCACAGACTCACTTCTTCCTTCTTTCTGTACAATCTTATGGTCTAGAAAGTTACTTGGAACTTAGAGTTCAGATATTAGGAAGAAAGCAGGACAACTTAGACCACAAAAATCCCTATATTCATGTGCATCAGGGCTACTTCCAGCCAATTTGGGCACACATAGGCACACCCACCGACATACCATTAAGCTAGCATGCTTTTTTCAGCACAACCCTAACAATCAATGTTGGGAACTGCTGACACTGAGGAACAGGTTAAAAGCTGCAACAAGAGAATTCATGGATGTCCACATGATTTGATGATGAATTTGCCCATAATTATAAATTACATAAAGTCATCAGTAGTGTTTTCCTTCAAAAGGTCATAAAATCTCTATTCCCCAATTAGAAAATTTTTTTTTGCCATTCTAGAGAATACACTCCCTTCTTTTTTCATTTCCAATACCACCACTACCACCACCCCACCCCCACAGAGTAAAGAAGCATAATAGCTCAACTCAAGCATGAGAATCCCTCAGCTCATGACAGCACACATGGCCAATAGGATATGAAAGGACTTGTTACTTCTACAACTGAGGTCTATGGAGAGACTCAGTCAGTCATCTCCAGCAGACATGAAATAGCTTGAGAGAGAGAAAAAAAATTCATGGATTTTTTTTTTTCTTTTTTCTGAGGTTAGAAGTGCACTAGGGTGAGAGTTTACATACAAGCAGGAGCTCCAGTGGATTCAATCTTCTGTGACTACAAAGAAGGAGCACTAAGGTTTTCTTATCACCTTGCACAGATGTGGGCCACAAGGGGTAGGAGGAGGGATGTGGTTGAAAAGAACAGGAAAAAAATTCAGTGAAGTAACAATCACTGAAATTTCCCTAAAATTTCGAGAGACAGCAAACTGTCAACCCAGGGAACTCACATAACACTAAATACAACAACCAAATATCTCATATTCAAAATGGGCAAAAATCAAAGACAAACAGGATATATTGAAAAAATTCAGAGGAGAAACGCCTTGTTACCATGAAACATAAAATTTATTTTCTGAAATCATTAAAGCAAAAAGACACCTAAGTAAAATAGTTAAAGTTTATTGTAAAACACTCTTCTACAATTCTGTGTCAAACAAAATTATCCTTCAAGAATAAAGGACCCGGCAGGTGTGGCTCAGTGGACTGCACGTCATCCCATGGACTGAGAGGTCCCGATTTGATTCCTGGTCAGGGCACATGCCCGGGTTTCAGGCTCGACCCCTAGTAGGGGGCATGCAGGAGGTAACCACTAGATGTTTCTCTCTTGCCCTTCCTCTCTCTCTAAAAAATCAATAAAAACATATTTTAAAAAATAATAAAGAAAAATAAGGTCTCTGATGACAAAAATTAAGGTAATTTGTCATGAGTACACCTACTTTGAAAGAAAAGATATTCATCAGGAAGAATGTAAATGATGAAGGTGGTAAATTAAAAAAAGAATAAATTAAGGTATATTTTATAACTTTTGTATTTCTTATCATGATTAATATAACAGATGACAGTTTATTTAAAATTACATTTAAACTTACAATAATGAGAATGAGGTCCATTCTCCAAGAAAGCATAGCAATCTTCATGTGTGTGTGTGTGTATAACAGAGAAGCAAAATACATGGCACAAAACTGATAGAATGCAAGGAGAATAGAAAAAATCCACTGCTATAGTTGTAGATGTCAACAACCTATATTATGAATAATAAATTCTAGCAGGCATAGCACCACCAAGGGTGGAGATGAGCTCAAAAGTGCTATGTAACAATAGAATTTAGTTGTAATTTATAAAACACGTCATGCAACAAGAGCAGAATGCATATTTTTCCCAAGTTCACATGGAACATTCACCAAGACAGACATATTCTTTCACACCATAGGCATTAGTCTAAAAATCACTAACAGGATGATTGTTGAATAACCCCCAAATATGTGAACATTTAACTACACAAGTTCTTAATAACACATAAAATCAAAGAACTCTCAAGAGAAAAAAATTATTTTGAACTACAGGAAATAAAAATAAAACTTATCAAAGGTTGTGGACTACAGCAATAGCAATGCCGAAAGGGTAATTTATAACATTGAACAAATACACTAGAAAATAAAAGATCTATTTACTAACATAAGCATCCAAGAAAAATAAAATAAAATACAAAACATATACATTCAATTACAAAGAAGCATCCAATAAAAAGAACTATTAAGTATAAAGTAGAATTTTTTTTTTTTAATCTTCACCCGAGGATATTTTTCCATTTATTTTTCAGATAGTGTGAGAGGGAGAGAGAGAAACAGAGAGAGAGAGAAAGAGAGAGAGAAAGAAACATTGATGTGAGAGAGACTTATCAATTGGTTGCCTCCCACACGACCCCGACCAGGGTTGGGGACTGAACCACAACCAAGGTATGTGCCCTTAACTGGAATCAACCTTGAGACTCTTAGGTCTGTGGACTGACACTCTAACTGCTGAGCCAAACCAGCCAGGGCAAAGTAAGTAGAATTTTTAAAAATTTATATATACTATGGAATACTACTGAACCATAAGAAAAGATGAAATGCTGCCATTTGCAACAATATGGATGGACCTTGAGAATGTTATGCTAAGCAAAATAAGTCAGAAAAAGCTAAGAACAATATGATTTCATTCATATGTGGAATATAATACTAAAACTCATAGACACAGACAACAGTATGGTGGTTTGCCAGAGTGGGGGTGGTGAATGGATAGTGTAGGGTAAGGGAGCCAAATATACGGTGATGGAAGATAATTTGACTTTGGATAGTAGGCACACAATGCAATATACAGATCATGTATCACACATTCTGAAACCTATACAATCCTATTAACCAATATCACCTGAATAAATTTCATTAAAAAATAATAATAAGCCCTGGCCAGTTTGGCTCAGCAGTTAGAGCATCAGCCAGCAGATCAGAGAGACCCGGGTTCAGTTCCCACTAAGGGCACGTACCTTGGTTGCAGTTTGTCCCCAGCCCCGGTTGGGGTCATATAGCTGGCAACCAGTCGATGTGTCTCTTTCACATTGATGT